AGGTTCCCGTGGATTGGGACAAAGTGAACAAACCTCCTTATTCTAAACTGGGCAGCAACATGAAGAAGGTAAAACAGCTGATCACACATTTACAAATATGTTCAACTTTTGGAAAAGAAAAACATCAAATTATACTTGATAGTAGCTGCCATGACAAACAGTGAGAGCACCGACACTACCAGTCAGCTCCAGCTCGAGCCGGCCCCGGCTCCTCGTCCTGACCGCCGCCGACAAACAGGCCTTATGTCTCAGCTGCTGAGCTTGCAGCGGCCAGCGACGGCCAGCAATATAGCAATATAGCCGTTAAGTTTCGATTCTGGGAGTGAGTTCCCACCCACTGATCTGTGATTGGTGTAGCTTCAGTGGTCGAAAATATGAGGAACTGGCGTTGTAGTTTCACCCTGCTAACCATTACAGTTTCCGATGACGCAAAATGACGTTTTTTGCGTCACTGGAAGCTCCTTTTCAGACTAAGAAATACAAAGATTTCCCGCCTCAGGGGAAAATGAGGGCGGGATGCACGACCATTCAAAAATACTACCAGGTTTCTAATGATACAAAGCTTAATGCAAATGGATGAAGTATCCCTTTAAAACCCGCCTCAGCTCCAGCTCTCAGCCTGTTGTTAGGTTGACTGAGAGTTAGGCTGAGACAGCATTTCCAGCATGGAGACCACCATCGATGGGACTCCAAAGTGCCCACAGTCTGCCGTGATCACAGCTGTAAATGTGCAGTTACGTTATAGAGAGCAATGAACCCTAAAGTTTTAACCTGCTGTGTGTCCGTGTCAGCTGGAGAACTGTAACTACGCCGTGGAGCTGGGGAAGAAGGAGGCCAAGTTCTCTCTGGTCGGCATCGCAGGTCAGGACCTGAACGCCGGGAATCGAACCCTCACCCTCGCTCTGCTGTGGCAGCTCATGAGGAGGTAACAATACTCGACTGCTGCTACGGACTGAACCATAAATAAATCTGTGTTTTCAGAGAGACGAGAAGAAAACTTTTACAAGTTACAAAAAATTATTTTAAAATCTGTGTGTGTGCGTGTGTGTGTGTGTGTGTGTGTGTGTGTGTTTGTGTATGTGTGTGCGCGTGTGCGTGTGTGTGTGCATGTGTGCGCGTGTGTGCGTGTGCGTCCCTTAGATACACTCTGAACATCCTCGAGGATCTTGGTGATGGACAGAAAGTGATCGATGATACCATCGTGGTCTGGGTGAACGGCACGTTGTCTCAGGCTGGAAAACCAACCATCAGCAGCTTCAAGGTACACACACACACACGCACACACACGCACGGACGGACGCACGCGCACGCACACACACACACACACACACACACACACACACACACACTGACAGCTCCCATATCTCTACAGATCAGATTGATTTAAAGGAAGTTAAAGGATCGATGATGTAACTCTGATGTTTGGATGAAATGTGCAATCATTACTCATGTTTGTGTGTGTGTGTGTGTGTGTGTGTGTGTGTGTGTGTGCGTGCGTGCGCGCGTCCGTCCGTGCGTGTGTGTGTGTGCGTGCGTGTGTGCGTGCGTGTGTGTGTGCAGGACGGCTCCATCAGCAGCAGCATGCCTGTCCTGGATCTGATCGATGCGATTCAGCCCGGATCGATCAAGTACGACTTGCTGAAGACTGAAGACCTGACGGAGGAGGAGAAACTCAACAACGCAAAGTACGAACTGAAACTTTATTCAAACATTTGCTCATTTAGTTTGACTCATCGACTCAGGCGAGCAGGAGCGTATGTGGCTCATAAACTCGCTCACCATGTGCTCTTCGTGGTCTGTCTCCAGGTACGCGATCTCCATGGCGAGGAAGATCGGCGCCCGTGTGTACGCGCTGCCGGAGGACCTGGTGGAGGTGAAACCAAAGATGGTGATGACGGTGTTCGCCTGCCTGATGGCGCGTGGCATGAAGAGAGCGTAAACAACGAAACATAAAGGACAGACTGAAGATAACGTGAAATGTATGAACGCTTACTTACAGGGTACGGATACTTTGACACTTTGAGAATCAGAGAAGGTTAATTTAGGCTCCACCCACTGCTGACTGTTACATCTACTTCTATTTCATCAAATAAGAAAATCTGAACTTTCACTTTTTACTCCGATATTTGGGCAGAATGATCTCAACTGCTTCTTTAAAACACTTCACAGCAAATAAACAGATTTTGTATGAAAACTTTTGGTCTATGTTTCTGTGTCAGTGTGTGTTAGTCATGTAATGGATATTACACAGAGGGTTTAAACGCCTCCTGTTGCTATGGTGATGTACAGCTGGACTCCAGGATCACTGTGGCCGTGGCCACAGCACAGGTGTGCAGTAACAGGGCTCATGTCTCACCTCATCTTTGTTAAGTGACACTTTCATTTTTGGGGGGATTTGCTTGTCCAATTTCTTGATGAAAGTTTTAGCCTGTTAGCGTAGCTTAGCATAAATATTATATCAGTTGGAATCGGCTAACCTGACTGTCCGATCCAACTACCAGCGCTTAATGTGCGACTTTCCAGACCAAAACAAACGCCTTCCCCTTCATCCCTCAGCTCCTCCTCCTACCCGCCCCTCCCTTCCTGTTTCAACAGCGAGTGTCTGTGGCAGAAAAGTTCTGATAAACATCTGAAAACAAGATTCAAGTAACGATACGAATCTCAAAGGTGATCAAACTATTTTTGTAGTTTTAGACCAAAGAAAGTGTTTCCTTCGATTTGTGAAGTCTGTCTAAGTTAAACATATAAACATCTGCTTTATGAAACGTTTAAAGGGATACTTCACCCATCTGCATTAAGCTTTGAATCATTAGAAACCTGGTAGTATTTTTGAATGGTCGTGCATCCCGCCCTCATTTTCCCCTGAGACGGGAAATCTCTGTATTGCTTAGTCTGAAAAGGATCTTACAGGGACGCAAAAATCGTCATTTTGCGGCCGCAGCCGAGGAACTAAACCAGCCTGTCAGCTACCGTCTCGCGGCTACATTGTTATATTGCTGGCCGCCGCCAGCTCAGCAGCTGAGACATAAGGCCTGCCTGTCGGCGGCGGTGAGGACGAGGAGCCGGGGCCGACTCGAGCTGGGGCGGACTGGTAGTGTTGGTGCTCTCACTGTTTGTCTATGGACACAGACATAGAGTCTGTTTTCTGCCAGGAATTTCCAAGATACTAATTCCATCTGGAAAAAATCTCGGAATCAGTTGAGGAAACGGTCTTCTGTGTTGAAGTAGGCCAAATATGTCTGTAAACCTGACCTTAGTGGGAGTGGCCTGCGGTGCTTTGCATTCTGGGATTTGGTGTCTTTCATCCACATGAGCCAAAAAAGACACTTTCTGCCCTTTCTCAGTCAAGAAGGCACCAACTTCAAAATTTATTTCACATTTCTACTACTTATATGACCCAATGTCAATACAGATTCATGTTTCAACCGTGTGAAGTATCCCTTTAAATGTTGCATATTAAGAGCTCTGGTAGCCTAGTTTTGGATGACTCGCCCTCGTGTCTCTACATGATAAGCTGACAAAAAACATTTCTTTTCAGCAGCCAAGATGAAAACCTGTTAAAGGAGCAACGTGCTACTCTGACACTAAGTGTTTAAAATGGGTACTGCAGTCTAACTTCTAAACATTGTAGAGAGCTGTCTCTCCCCGCCCCCTCCTCTCTAGAGTTGATGCTCACACAGGTTGCCATGTGGTGGACACTGAAGCTTCAGTGTTTATCCAGCTCTGCATGGTCTGTAAACCTTTCTGTGTTCTAACCTCTCTCCATTTTTCAAAAGCATCTCCAATATTGATCCTAGTTTGAGCACGTTTCTGCTCGTGGAGCTTATTAGAAACATGCAGAGGCTTTTTAGGTCGGGTACAATCACTTCTATCTGAACCAGTTCTCTTTCCTGCTTCCATCGCTGCAACACCTGTTGGTTTGGGAAACCGAGGGGCGTCCAAAACGGCCGTGTGGTGGTGCCTTAAAACCGCCTACGTTCTCTGGTCCAAACAAATCCAGAGCATTCAGGACCAGAATCTAAGTTAGGAGGAGGACATACTGGCTGCTGCATTGTTGTCAGAGAAGCCAGCACTTCAACATAGCATGTTTCCTTAATGTCTGATCTTAGAGTAAGATACCTTTATCATTTCACTCACTACACATCTCACCGTTTAGACCTATACAGGCTTTTGAAGCTGGAAGTAAGGTTGTCCAAATGTTGTTCCTGTGCAGGAGTTAGCCTGCAATAATTGAAGATTATAAAAAAACAAGAAATCTGTCAACAATGGGCCAGAAGAACGTCTATGTTTCTTCGTGTTGTATCTAACAGGTTTCATTCACTACATTTTACTTGAATCATGTTGAAATGCTGACGTGCGACCACAGCTGGAAGTGACTGAAGTCAATGAAAAGGAACACAACGTCAAAGACGAGAAGAGTTTAACTGTTTAATTACAGAAAAATGTTTTAATTCAAAAGCACAGAGAGAGAGGGAGAGAGAGGAGGTGAAAAAATGTGAAGCTGAGTTAATCTGGTTTTCACGTCAGGAAAAGAGAGAGAGGGAAATGATTAACCTGCAGACTGAGCGCTGAGAGGAGACTTTAAAGTCGTCACGACATATTTACAAAACGGTCATTCAGCTGCTGGGACCAACAGACACATTATGACTGAATCAAACCACGCCCCTTACAGAAAAATGTTTTAATTCAAAAGCACAGAGAGAGAGGAGAAGAGGAGGTGAAAAAATGTGAAGCTGAGTTAATCTGGTTTTCACGTCAGGAAAAGAGAGAGAGGGAAATGATTAACCTGCAGACTGAGCGCTGAGAGGAGACTTTAAAGTCGTCACGACATATTTACAAAACGGTCATTCAGCTGCTGGGACCAACAGACACATTATGACTGAATCAAACCACGCCCCCCTTCAGCATGTTTAGACTCAAACCACGCCCCCTTCAGCATGTTTAGACTCAAACCACGCCCCTCTTTGTTTCAACCCAAACCACGCCCCCCCTTCAGCATGTTTAGACTCAAACCACGCCCCTCTTTGTTTCAACCCAAACCACGCCCCCCCTTCAGCATGTTTAGACTCAAACCACGCCCCTTCAACATGTTTCAACCCGTTCTGTGGGTGCAGCGTCTCTGTGGGGAGCGTTATTTTGCAGGTTTGGCCTCGACCGGGTTCTCTCCGGTGTCCAGGGTCTTGAGGAGGCGAAAGAGTCCGGCGGCTTCACGGATGCGGCTGAACTCGATGCAGAAAGCCTGAACCTCGATGAAGAGGTCCTGAACGTTTATGATCTTGTTCCTGATCAGAGACTGGAGAAAGACACAGACCAGGCGCACCAGACGGTTCTGCAAAGACAAGATCATCAGAAACCTATTTTAAATATCGACTCAGCAGCGCCCTCTGCTGACTGAACTGTTGTGATTCTTTGTTGTATTATTTTAATGAGCTGATAAACTCTTTGCATTAAAGACAAACAACTCTGTAACTGATGCATGTCTGTTTGGTTGAAGGGAGAGCGGTGAAGGCGTCTTTATAGCGTGAACGTGTACCTGCATGTACTTGTCTTTGATCTGCTCACAGGTGGAGATGCAGTTGGAGATGTAGAGGTGGATGAACTCCGGCGGCAGATCGACAGCTGTGGTCAACCTGACAAAGAGGAGACAAACACAAATCATCAAAGTTTGATGATGATAATCCTGCAGGAAACAGCAGATTTAATCAAAACAACAAAAGATGACGTTGAGGCTGGCGAGGAATCATGGCAGTGATTCTCTCTGCGTCTTCACTTTTAATCCTGACCTGTTGACGACCTCCATGGAGTGCAGAGACATGTCCATGTTGACGAGCACAGAGAAGTACTCGGTGATCTGACTGCTCTGCATCAGCTTCAGCAGCATCTCGATGGCCACCAGCGGGTTGTTCTCCACCAGGTCAGGGAGCTTTGCTGGGGACAGGCCGATGTGATACACCAGCTTCGGGTCCTTCTCCAGCTCAGCCAGAAGCTAGATACACACACACACAGAAATTATTCTCTGTATTCTGCTCACACCAGGCCCAGTTCACCCATACCATTACTAAGTACAACTGCACCCCCTCGCGGCTTGCACAAACAGCTTCACATCATCACTAAGCGTTCTTTTGTTTACGAGGTGCGTGATGTCAGCGCACTTCCTGAGTGCCGGAAGTGATCTGCCGAGGTGTCCCTGAGCAAGGCACACACCACAAGTTAAAAAAACAGGATCCCTCTTTGAAGTGTACATATGCATGTGTATATGTACACTTACACATGTGATCCCGTGAACTCTTCTTGCAGCACGGACTAAAACTCAGAGGAGAATCTGGCGTCTCTGCGACCTCACCTGTGACTGCTGCTGCGCGGACAGCGGGCTCTTGAAGGCCTTGGACATGATGCGTTTGATCTCCACGCCTGTGCTGTTCTTCACACACATGGAGCGGTCCCACTGCACGCTGTGATCTGGCTCGGTGGGGTTCAGCCACGCCAGCTCGTCCTCGCACACGTGCAGAGGAGGCGGCGGGCGGATGAACTCGGGCCTGAAGTGACCTGAGAGGAGAGAGGAGGGCGGGCCGTTAGGACGAGCACACAGAACAAACGATGTGTTGTAGTACCAACCAGTGTTAATCTTCACACCATTTTCTAATTAAGTCATAGTTTCCTGACGAAAATGTCCTATTATATTTAGTCAGATATTAGTCATTTGATATTAATTTAATTTAGTCAATTAGTCACTGACTAAAATTGCACATCATTTTAGTTGAAGAAAATAGAAGATATTTAAGTAAACAAAATCAGACGCAGGCTTTTATTTTGATTATCAGAAGCTCACTGCTGCATTCAGGTGCTGCTCGGGTGGTCCATGTTTCCGAGTTGGGAAGTTGTTCTTCCAACTTCAGTGTGTTCACATGATTTCAGTTTGGAAAGTTGGACTGTTGTAACAACAGCACAAACAAGCGTTGATTCTACGTAGAAGATCAGTGAAATGTAACTGTTAAAAAGTTATATTTGATAAAAAAGTTGATGTGCAATACGTGAATTAATAAAAAGTATGTTAACATTAACAAAAAATATTTTGCCCCCCATTTGATGACGATTCTGACATCAAGTCGGGCACCTTATTATTTTCCGAGCTTCCAAGTTGTTGGTCCGACTTGAGCAGGTGTTCATGTGCATTTTACAACTCATTTACAAACAAATATTTTCGTCATTTATTTCATTGACGAGATTAACACTGGTACCAAGCAGTCGGCACACAGATCTGGTGTTTTTTTTAAACGGGAGTTTTGGTTGCAGATGGCACGCTGGAGTTTTTTTGGTAACCCGGGCAACATTTGCATGAGCTTTTGAAGGCATCTTCATATTCACAGAGTCAGCAGGATGAGTCAGGATGTGAACAGCAATGAATTATAATCATCAGACACCAAAGACGTATCAGGAACTCTGGTCAGAAGTGTCGGACTCAGACAGAAAACAGAATCTAAAACATTTTCAACTAAGGTTGGACAGAAGTAAGAGATTTGAAATTTGTGTCTTTGTTTTGATGTTACCTCATCCAACGTTAACTTCAACCCGAGCGCCTGGAACTTATTCAGACGAACTTCATTTGGTCCGTTTAAAACCCCAACAAGGTTCTTGGGTCTTGCTGTGTAAACTTCCCGTGTTCTACGTACCACTTTAACATTAAAACACACTTACTCTCCAGTGGTGGGCGGGGCCCTGTGACCAGAGACTCGATGATCTGATTGGCCACTGAGCTGTCGAACCCTGAGTTTGATGAATCTGGATCGGGGTCGTTGAGGATGCTCGGGAAGCTGGCTTTACTCTGAGTGGGCAGCTCAGACTGTCGCTCTGCAAAACACACACACACAAAAGTATTGAATTAAGGAAGACTTTGACGACCTTTGTCCATTCTGGATGCAAGAAACAGCTTCCTGTTTCAGCTTCACTGGACAGCAGGTAGCGTTGGGTGTGTGTCGCTCTGCATGGCGGTGTATTACTGACCTGCTAAAGCAAGCTGCAGCCCGCTGATGTCGATAGACTGGGGCATGTTGCCGACGTCCATGCAGGAAACCTGTCTGGGCGTCTTCTTGAACAGATCTCTGGGCGGAGCCAACATCAGCTGGGACAGGAAGAACTTCTCCGGCTGAGTGATCGGAGGAAGGAAGCCTGGAGGGATCACATAAAATATACTTATTTATCAAGCGCTATCAGGGCAATCAAAGACATTTTACAAGTGATAGTAGTGACGGGAAGTCATGAATCAGACTTTTGAGGTGTTAGTAAATGTGGACAGCTTATCAGAGAGTCCTTGGTGTGTTTGGGGCGAGAGCTTTACAGGAAGGGGGGGGGGGGGGGCGAGGGCTGCTTGAATATGAGAAACATCCTAAAAATAATTTTTTTGACAGGTATTGAAATGTATTTTGAATTTTCCAAATGGGCTGCACGGTGGTGCAGAGGTAAGCGAAAAGGTTCCTGGTTCAAATCCCTGTCTGACAGAAGCCTCATTGGTACTCCGGCTTCCTCCCACAGTCCAAAGACATGCTAGTTAGGTGAACTGGAGACTCTAAATTGTCTGTAAGTGTGAATGTGAGTGTGGCTGGTTGTGCTTCTCTATATGTCAGCCCTGTGATTGACTGGCGACCAGTCCAGGGTGTAACCCCGCCTCTCACCCAATCACAACTTGGACCAGATCCATGCAAGAGGAAAGCAGTTTACATGTTCTTGTGCAATTTAGACAGTGTGCAGGAGGAGTTTGCATGCAATTTCTGGTAATTAAAACAAAAACAAAGTGACAAATATCGGGCAAGATCTTAGTTCATATTTGGTATCATGAACCCCCTGATAAGTACATCTACTCTGTAATGTTACTGAGTAGTTCGGAAATAGGACGAGGGCAGGAATGAAGTTTTGTGAAGTCTCCAGTTCTCCTCTCGGAGGAAATCTGTCACACATAGCGACAATAAACGTCCGCAAAGTACGCGTTGTATCATACCTGAGTGCACCTTCTCCTGCTCCTCCCCGGCAGGTGAGGGGTTCAGCAGGTGAGCAAACACGGCGGCGAACGGGTTCGCAGCCAGCGGCTCGGTGCGGTACATCTCCCACAGCAGGTAGAGAGCGGTGAGCCTCTGCGGGGAGCTGGGCAGCAAGTCCGGCTGCTGCAGGAGCATCACCAGCACCGAGCCCACCCGGAAGTGCTCCGCTTTCCCGAAGTAGTGATGGAAGTGCGTGGAGAGGCTCTCGAAGGTGTTGGTGCAAGCCTCCTCCGAGATGATGCCCAGCAGGTTGGACAGTTCCTTCGGAGCGAGAGTCATGGCTCCTCCGCTCGGAGTGTTTCGACTCGTTAAAGATCGGAACTGATACAAAAAACTCTTTTATATCCAGCTAACACATCAAACTCTTCGTCTGTGTGTTAACAGCGGAAGTTTAATTCACGTTTCTCCTCGTCTGACAGTCATCGCACGAGCTCAGCTAGCAACCACTTAGCTTAGCCTAGCGCCGCTAACTGAGAAAAACCGGCAAAGTCATGTTGTAAACTTAAAAGTCAAAAAGTCAAATTCCGCTCTGACCGTCCCGGTGATTAAACAACAGACTCAGAAAACCAGAAAAGCATAAAATAAGCGAAGTATTCCAGTCTGTTTGTGTGTTATCCTAGCTGTTAGTTTGAAACAGCTCTGGTGCTTTAGCCGTTTAAATTCTGATTTGACCTGCGGTGCATTGTGGGTAACGTAGTTTGGCGCTGTGTCGAATGTCTTTTTACGAGAAAATAACAAAAAATGTAATTTTAAATATGTTACTGAAACTTATTTTTTACGTTAATAATCCAAAACTTGTGAAGCAGCGCTCTTAAAATCGTAAAAGCTAGAACTGACGAAAAAGTTACGTTTACATACGTTTCCTTACCCGGAAGCAGTCATCTTTGTGTCACTTCGCTTCCGGTTGCTATATTCCAAATTGAAAATGACATGGCTGCTAACATGGTACTAAAATAGACATTGATGTGAGAGTTTATATGGGGTTTTCTGACTGCCAGGCAGTTATTCAACAGAACATAACAACAGAATGGCAGAGGCTGAATGACTTTTGAGTTTTGCAATTCAAAATAGTGTGATACCAAAGCAGTGCTATTTGGGCAAAGGAAGAAGGCCCACTTTAATAATGACACGTCTGAAGTTAGGTCACTGAGGGCTTGCTTGGGATCTGGGTCTGTGTATGGGAAAACATCATGATGGACTCTGCACAGCCTGCAAACTGTGAAACATGTACTGAGGGGTTGTAACTTACTCAAGCAGCAAAGACAATAGTTCTACTCTGCTATATGAGGCACTGGATTACAGACATTAACTTTCGTATACCTACTTAATCCATTTGAACACCAGGCACTGACAGTGGAAACAGTCATTGACTTTATTTGTTCAGCAGGATTACCCTTCTCATGCCTTCCCAGGTGATTTAACCTAAGAAAGGTGTGGATTCAGGCAATTAGCTAACAAAGGTCAGGACTTTAGAATACTACAAGGGAGTACATTTGTGTGTAGCATTTCATTGAAGGGGACTACAACACAGGTAGGGTCAGCAGGTAGAGCAAGCAGCTGACAATAGGGGCAGTCCCGAATCATTGGTAAGTGTTTCCATTGGAGTCTGTTGGTGATACAGCTACTGCTTGTTTAGGCCACGGCGTCTGTCCCAGTCGCTGTGGTCCCAGTCTGCTACAGCCAGGAGGAGAGAGGAGATCTGCCCTGAGGTAACGGCTGGAGCGGATCATAACTATGGGGGGCTCTTACTCCAGGTGTGTTGATGTGAGTGAATTGTTGAAGTATGCTAGTTGGCATTCTGCCTGTCCCTTAATACTTGTTATTGGTAGTTTTTGTCAATCTTACTTTGATGGGCGGCTGTGGATCAGTGGTAGAGTTGGTCGACATGTGCAATTTGTCCTTGGGCAAGATACTAATCCCAAAGTTCTGCAGTAGTCAAAACAGGAAGCTGAAAGTGATAGATGTTTGTTAAATGATGTGGTTATTATTATTAATTCATCAAACAACAATTTCATTCCAGAGGAGGAATTTCTTTTTTGGCTGAAGATAAAATAAGAGGCAGAAACATTAACAGATCTTTAATACATTTACTTTTCATTTTGTTGATTTCATACAAAAAAAACAGATCTTTGTGCTTTCCGTCAGAGTTCACTTTTTAAACTTCTCCAGACGTCACGTTCGACCAGGAGGAAGCTGCAGAGCTGAGAGATCGACCACAGAACAAGAACAATCCAGGTCAAGACCTCGACTCCTGAATGATTCCGATGTTGATTTCACTCCAGACACAAAACAGGCGAAAATAAAAACAGTGCATTTGAAAGGGAACTGATGCAAAAATGAGATATAGAAACATTCAGGTGAAACACATTTATAACCACAAGTGTCAAATATTGGCTGTTTGTCTCACTTTGAATCTTTGCACACATCCCGTCACTGATAAGAAATCAAGATCAAACATCTTCTAGATCTGTAAGACTTTAAATCCTGGATGAGGTCAGAGGTCAGAGGTCAAATGTCTGCAGGGGGAAAAGTCGGAGCAGAGTCCTGGTAAAATCAGCCTGAGAGAAGTCGTCTGCAACATTTCACAGATCATCTCGTTATTCAGTCAAAACGCTTTAAAGGGAAACTGAAGGCAGAACAAAAACCAGAGTGTGACCAAACATTCAGCGGCAAACCTGATGATTGAGCAGGAGAAAAGTCAATACATCACATCCTCAGGGGAAAATCAATGTATGGACCAATTTTTATCAACATCAATGTGTGATTTAATGACTAAAAATTAAGAATATGTTTTAAATGTCTCAGTAGATTTTTTCAGCCTGCAGCAGTGAAACTGGCTTTAACAAAATCAAAGTGTGTCCATGAAAAGTTCTAGTTTTTGTCCCTGACAGGAATGATTGCCACAATGCCACAATTTAAAGCAATATGTAACTCTGAATGGGTAATGTAGTCTAAATTCAAAACATTGGAGAGAGCTGTCCTGTGGGTTGGGTTAAGGTAGGCGGTTTTAAGGCACCCCCACACGGCCGTTTTGGACGCCCCTCGGTTTACCAGATATGAGAGCAGTTATCAGGTCAAACCAACAGGTGTTGCAGCGGAAGCAGGAAAGACAACTGGTTCAGATAGAAGTACCCGACCTAAAAAGCCTCTGCATGTTTCTAACCTGGCAACCTGCATGAGCATTGACTCTAGAGAGGAGGGGGCGGGGGGAGACAGCGCTCTACAAAGATTAGAATCTGGACTGCAGTACCCATTTTAAACACTAGGTGTCAGGGTTACATGTTGCTACTTTAAATATGTAACTATAGTTTCAGTTTATAATATCAGAATTCCCGTCATCTTCAGGAGACCTTGAAGCAAACGTCATGCTCACAGCAAGAGAACTGATTTGGCACATTCTGGTTTTTGTATTTCAAGAGCACGATAAGGAAACTCTCTTTAAAGGTCCATAATCACAACAGGAGTCAGTAAGGGAAGTTTGGTTCATACTGGTTTACACACACACACACACACACACACACTGTACACACTCTTACAACACACACACACACACCTGCGTTCACTCCACAACACTCCCACATATGGCACAAAATGATCCACCTTCATTACAACCAAACAGCACTGAAACATCACAAATCTCAAAGAGCATGAAAAGCTCACGATGGTGAACGTATAAAAAAAAACAAAGAATACAATCAAAAAGTAAAATATAAAAACATGGCGAATAAAATCATCAGTTATATTTCCAGGCATGCAGGCAGACACACTGTAAACTTTGAAAAGCTGGCAACAGGTCCAAACTGTCCAGAAGGTGGCTCGGTCAGGTCCACTTCATGACGAGGAAACCACAACGAGGAGAGGCTCAATGATCAGACGGAGGGAGGCCTCACTGAGTTTATGACTCATATTTAAGATGGATTTAAACTCAGCTATACTTCACGGTGACCAGACCAAGAGCTCACTCCGACCAGATTAGTTCAATCGGAGACGCTATGTTCACTTACAGTCATTTATGTACGTTATCATTTCACCATCTAAACGCTGACATCAGCTGCTAACCTTCATGGATCAGCGTACTCGTGTCAGACCAGCTGCTGTAACGGGGTATTTGATCCTTTTTGTGCACAAAAACAAACAAAAGGAGATCCAGCTTATAAAAAACATCACTCTATAGCACCCCTACTGGCCAAAACCTCCACAGAGAACCTTTAATAAAGGTTATTTTACCGCAACTCTTTGACTTTCTGGATCGTTCTGACTGGTCCTTTAAAGACGTTACATTAAATCTTCTGGCCCGCTGTGCACTCTCTCTGTCCTCGTCTTCATCATTTGTGCTTTAAGCTCCAAAACACAAAACAGACTTTACAACAGAACAAACTGTGACGTTAAATAACATCTTATAGTTTGCTGTATGGCTTCTACTTCACTCAGGATGTGACTCAAACCTTCACTGGTTTTAGTGTTATTGCCAAAGCTTCTTTCACTTTCTTCTTCTTTTAACTTCAGAGAGTTTAACACACGTAAGGCTCTTGAGGAAATAAGAGGTGGGGGAAATATTTTTAAGGCAAAGGTCAAAGAGACAAGGAGCGAAGAGAGAGTCGGGTAAAAAAAATCTTGCGTGGTGAAATCATAGATGTCATGATGTTGAGGGTTCAGGGTTAGGTTCAGATGTCAACAAGCCAGTCGGCTTTTAATTATTTTCTTTATAGTTATCTGTATGACTAATCCACCAAAAAAAGACAAATTAATCTTTAAGCAGATCTATTTAACTCACTTTCACCATGAATAAGTCTGGGACGCCTGTTGAGAAGTGTTAAGAGATGTGTAGCTCAAAAACCTCCTTATTTATCTGACACTGGATCAGTAAAATCCTTCTTTTCAGCCTCTGCCTGAAATGCTTCATTTCAGCTTCTGTCTCTTTAAGAACCCCCTCCCCACACGCCCACTCTCCTCTAATTGGCCAGCTCTGTTTGCAGTCTCAGGGATATTTAAGTGATCATATGAGTGGGTGTGTCCTACAGATTTGCTCCATGGCAGCATAGGACGTTATGTGCATTTAAATATGGAGCAGCCGAATAAATCCTTTAAGCTCAACAGAGAGCGGACGGTTAAAGCGAACACAGAGAGGTTTAAACTCTGAGTTTAGTGTTTAGTGACAAAGTGGCTTCAGCACAGCTCGTATTCTTTCTGTCTTTTTGACTCTGGGATCAGTTTGTTTCTACTTCAGAGAATGCTGTTCCGTCTTTGCTCTCTGTTTGACGATCCCAGTGAAGAAACATCAACATAGAACGACTTCTGCGACACAGCGTCACGCAGAGTCCAAATGTTTGACCTTGAGCAGCGCGTCAGCCGCACTGACGTGCAGAAATCCATTTATAGAGATAAATAAATCGTTGTCAGATGGGAGCCGTGATGTCGATACGTTGTCAATAGAAGAAATAAAAATGTAAGAGCATGTTTTCCATGAAGAACATATTTACACCAGATAACTACATCAAGGTGTTTCTGTGCTGAAACAAGAGAACTGCAGTGTTTCAGAAACCTCAGCACAAGCAAGACCTTATGGGTAAAAAGAGAAGATGTAGATCAGAAAGCAGAATGTAATCAAGAGTATCGGTGACTTCTATTTATAAGATCTGATCTGCTCCTGATCTGTTAGTGTTCATTTTAAACATTTTATAATTTTCCTTTCAGATCAGAGAACCTGGACTGAAGGTGTGATGACTATCTCTCAGTCCACACACACACACACACACACACACACACACACAGTCTCAGTCAGCGTAGTGCATGATGGACTCGACGTAGTTCCCGGGGAAGAGGCCGGTGTAGGCGTTCATCACTCCTTCGTACCAGCCGTCCTCGTTCTTCTTGATGACGTAGATGATCGCTCCTTCCTGGAACGACAGCTCATCCTCTTTGTCAGCTGAGTAGTCGTATATGGCCACCACTAGGGGGCGACAAACAACCATAAATATTAACCATCAACATGCTGGTGATACTTCGTCTTCATGTGACCATGAACTAATCTTAGGATCAATTCAGCCTAGTTTATGTGCTCTTAAAGAGAGCGACTGGTGTTTACATAAAAATAATAGTATTTATTTAAAATCCACTGATTATGTCGGATCGATTATGTTCCATCAGTGCACAGCAGCGTGGTGTTTCTGCTGCGTACCTTTCTCCTCGTAGTTTCTGGGGGCCCATGGAGGGTCTTCTTCAGCATACGGGTCGCTGTACTCCACCACGGCCGAGTCCTCCTCCTCGTGTCCGTCCTCCAGTGGCTGAGGAGTGGGCGGAGTCTCCTCTGGTGTTGGTTGGCTCTCAGCTGTGGCCGGGTGAGGAGGGAGAGCAGGAGGAGAGGAGTCTGAGACTGGAGGAGAGACGAGATGTGAGAGTTGGGGAGAGGAGGATATTCAGAGGAAAATAGGTGTTGAAGCTGAATCATCCTGATTGTTGTTATTGATCATCCTGCAACCAGCGAGATACGATGTCACATCACTAAATCCATCTGCCTCTGTCAGGCTGGGATTCTTGTTCACAGCGGTCTCAGACTACCACTGGCTGATTTCTCCTGAGTATTGTTCAAGTAAAAGCTTTGGCAGTTTCACATTATTACACATGGGGTCTGATTCTGAGGACACTTCAGACGCTACATCTCTATACTCTAAAACTCGTGAAACTTCCATGAGCGTCCGAATACCTTTTTCTTTTTTTTACATTTTCCTCCATTATTGACGCACCCGAGACTCGCTTGTTTTGAATCCCTGAGTAAGCCCAGCTTCACAGCAGTCCGACCTACTTTATAATGTGTGATGGTTAAGGATGTACAGTCTCAATAAAAAGAGATTGAAATATTTTAGTGTTTTTAAATATGGAGATAGAATTGTCTCAAAAAGAGTTATACATATCGAAATGATATGTATAAATATGCATACATTTATAAATATACAAATATAAAAACGTGACATACAAATAAATAAACTAATTTGTATAAATAAACGTGTATTTGTAAATATAGTTCAGAGATTAGAAAATAAGTATGCTTGACTTTGTGTGTGGATTCTGCATTTGTGGATCGCTTTTCGGCTTTTCTCTCGATGATGTAATTTTGAGACATTCTTCCCGCACACTGCCATCCACACTGCCATCCACAAATAAATACCCCTGAATTCGAATGCGAATACACCCTCCCCTGAACAACCAGTAGATGGCAGGGTTGTATAGCCACCGCTGGTTATGGTTGTGGTTACGTATTTGGCAGATGCTTTTATCCAAATTTACCGTCTATGACTGCTGCAGGATCAACAACATGGAAGCGAACAGTGGACTTACTGGATGGGTAAGTAATACTAGTAATAACTGTTTCTTGTGGGTTGTAGTGCCATTTTTTTATCTACTAGACAGTATACATGAGTCATAAAAGCCCAAAAGCGAATGCAGAATCCACACACAATGTCGAGCATATTTATTTTCAAATCTCTAAAATATATTTACAAATACACATTTATTTATACAAATTAGTTTATTTATTTGTATGTCACGTTTTTATATTTGTATATTTGTATTTGTGTATTTATAAATGTATGCCCATTTATACATCAGATACATACATCATATTTAAATACCAGATAAAACCAATTCAAAGTAAACTTAGCGATAGAAATGAAATGTTTCTTAAATCAATGTTTTTTGTCTGCTTGGTTTATTATCAAACACTCACATGTAGAGTTGATCCAGAAGTTCTCAAAGGTACAATTATGAATAAACATCCACACCATACTTACTGGACTCTTGAACTCGAGCAACAAATCCCATCAGAGGAAGCTGAGGAGTGAACTGCAGGATGGAGGGAGGCGGAGGAGACGCTGACACAAAAACACAAATGAGACATTTTTAGATTTTGATTACTTTAACATTCAGAATCAATAATGGTGAAAAAGAACTGTTGGGAACCGGATGAGTCTGGTTTTAAGTCTCCTACCTGGACTTTGGTTGAAGTAGGGACCCCCGTTGACCTGGTTCTGAGCTATGATTGGCTCACCGGTCACAGAGGACGGACGGCGGTACGGCAGAGACCCCCCGACCTGAGGAGTCTGCTGCCGGGGCTGAGGGCGGTTCATACTGAAGAACTGAGGGACGATGGGACCTGAAGGAGCAGAGAGGGAGGAGGAGGCCAACATTGGTTTCTAGGACTTCTTTTTGTTGCCGCGGTAACAAACAGGTATCTAGAAACGTGTATGATTATGTCTTAAGTTTAATATTAATATCTATACTTTCTGTCACAGAAGGGAAACTAACTAGAGATGATTTACAGTCTTACGTCAGCTTCTCCTTCAGTGTCCTCGTGTTTATGAAACTGTTACCGATATCCAGAAGGTCGCTCACCAACGACTCATTACAGATTTATAAATTAACGGTTAGATAACAGAAGGTGCAGAAAGACAGCAGGACTCGGTGAGGCTGGAGGAAACTCACCATCAGCAGGTGGTGAGGAGGAGGAGAGTGGAGAAGGAGGAGCAGGAGGAAGGAGAGGAGACAGCTCTGCAGGCAAAGCATCTGATTGGACCTCAGGCGTGCCGGGGGCGGGGTTAGAGGACAGGGAGGTGCTGGTGGGTGCAGGTGGTTGTGAGTTTGTTGGAGGTGAGGAGTCGGCGTGCTGAGAGGGTGAGTTCGGAGGCAGAGGAGCATTTGGATGCGTTAAGGTGGTGGTGGAGGAGGACGAGGAGAAGGAGGAGGGAGTTGGTGAAGGGGAGGGGGAGGAGTTAGGAGCAGTGGAGGAGGAGCTAGCGGGTCCAGCAGTCGGGGAAACTTCAAGAAGGAGGAAAGGAAAGAAGGAAGAAAGGAAGGAAGCAAGGCAAAGAGGAAGGTTGGAGGAAGGAGTTACAATAAAACAACATTTAAAGTTGTTGTGCTCTTCAAGAAAATTGCAATATTTTAAAATCTGGAACCATTAGTAACTTCGTTTCATAACTTGAGTACAGGTACCTTGCGTATGTACACATTCTGATACAGCAGGTGGCAGTATGCACATTAGGTAGGTTTACAAATCCACCAAGAGGCAAAAAAGAAGAAGTAACCAACCACTCTCAGGCTGAGTCCATCCTACTAACTGTGGGAGTTTTTGTTATTTCTGAGAGGCCAGCATAATGGATGATGGATCAAAGTGAGTCCACTCAAAGTTGTGGTTTTTGTCCCTGACAGGTTCCGGTTGTTATTCTAAGTGTGTGACATCATTACAGAAAGTTTCCCTACAGAGAGAGACCTTTTAGTTACGTCACTCTCTTCAGAGCCACCATCGAAAAACAAAACAGTTTGCAGAAAACGATTCTTTCTTGACTGCTTCCTGGATGGAGTCGTTGGTTTTGGGTTTTTCTGTGACTTTTGTCTTTTAAGTGGTTTAAACATTCATCAACTTATTCTGCAGCCCTCACAGCCCGTCTTACAGCGGCCACAGAATCTATTGAAGCATTTTAAAACTTGTTGCAAGAACTCTCTTCTGGACCCAGAAATATATAAAGTTCCTCAGTTCAAAGAACGTTACTTATGTTTGGGTCCGAACATGAAGAAAAGAAACAGGAACTCATGAGGCTGTTTAAGTCGGATTAAACTGAAGTTACTTTCATTATTCAACTCAGACCAACAACAAAAATATCAATAAACAGAACGTTTTACGTAAACATATTATTTATTATTTTCAAGGATGGACAAGGAAGTGTTAATGTCCCAAGCATGTGCACAAGTGTGTGTGTGTTACCTGGGAAGGTGGAGGGCGGTGAGGGCGTCGGCACGGCGATGGGAACGCCCACGCAGCCGCTGCCGCTGTTCTCCCTGCTGCTGCTGCGACTGCTGCTGCTGGGATGACTGCCCCCACTGCTGCCACTGTACACACACACACACACACGCACACACACGCAGTGTAACTTATATGAGTCTTTGATCTTATTGTTTAAAAAGACGTTAAAACAGCGAATGAGAGCAGACGTAGAGACTGGAGACAAACAGGAGCGACTTCAGCAGCCTTGAGTCGAGTTAACGCCAGCAGCAATGAAACAACCAAAAGCTGCAAACACAGAATCTGATTGGCTCAGGAGCAGACAGAGGAGCTGATTGGATGGGAAAGATTCTCTGTATCAGAGCAGTGATTGGACAGCAGAGACATTCTGTGTGTAAGGCATTTGAATAATAAAACATGTTTTATGAAGGGTACAAAGAAGGCTTTTAAACTTTAACATCTAAAAGCGGTTTAATTTAAAAAGTTAGCAGCGTCTTCTTTTCCCATCCAGAGCAGCGGCCGCTCCGTCTGCTCAGGAACAACGGCGAGCAGAGAGTGACTTCATGTTATTATTAGAAATCCAGAGACAAGAAGTGAGTCAGTGCAGAGGAGCAGTTAGTAGAAGCTGTGAGGATGGAAGCACAGAGTTAGATTGTTGTCGTTATTTCAGCTGAGATGGAGGATGAAAACAGACAGAAGAACATCTCACACACAGAGAAGCCAAGAGCAGAAGAACGAACGCGTGAGGAAGACACACGAAAAGATTCTGAGGATAATGATTCTTAAATTAAAACTTTTATCTTCCCTTTAGATCATCATGTTGAAATTTACTGCAGACGAGAGAACACTCAGGTCGGGACCGTCAGTCATCAGCTGGCTAGCTTAGCTTAGCATAAAGACTGGAAACAAAGGGAAACAGCTAGCTCGAGGATTTGACCTACCAGCCACACTTGAACCTTTAGGTCAACATACTTTAAAACCTGAATAAATACACAAAGTACAACACCGCTCTGACCTTCATGTTTAGTCTATTTCTCTTTTAGACGCTGTTGTTGTTCAATCTGTGTTGTTTAGGGGACCATTCTCTTCTGACCTTTGACCTCAAACTAATCCTGAATATTTGCTCGTGTTCAGTCGCCTTTCTTAACGTGATTAAATCATCCACAGAATGAAAGCATGAATGACTGAAAGCT